CTCTCTCTCTCTCTCTCTCTCTCTCTCCTTTGCAACTCTCCCGTCGTCGCAGAAAAAAATATCGCAGGTGCAATCGCAGATGTTACTTGAAAATTAGTAGCTCGTAAGAACGAAGGTGCATGCGTGATCGTTACACGACTGAATTGATCGCGAAAATCTTCGCTTTTTTTTTTTCTTAAAAATATCCTCGAAACCGATTCATGTCTCTATACATAGCACATATTTTATTTTAAGATTCTTTGATGTTTTTTATTCATAGATCGTGACAGCATGCTTTAAAATATGCCGGTTTCCCCCTTTAGGATATTTTGTATTGTATTCTCTGAATAACTTTCCCCTGCTAAGTTATGTTACGATGAAACTTTATATTATAATTCTTTGAATAATCTTCTTTTCACTAAGTTATGTGAAAGTAAAAACTTTAAGCCCAAAATGTATAGGTAATTCTTAAAAATTGCAGAAGTTCGAATAAATTTATTATTATTATTATTGTTATTATAGTTCGAAATATCTTTGAGCGTACGTCAAGACGATTAGCACTCTTTTTCATCACGCAAAAGTGACAAACATTCATGTGTGATGGTTCGATGTGACACGACGCTGAAGAATCTCGGCGGATCGAAATTGTTCGCAACGTCCTCGAGTGAAATTCTGCGGAAGAAACGCTGACTCTCCGAGACGCGGGATTTCGATGACGAGATAGAGATATATCTAACAATCAATTTACATTGGACCAATTACTCCAGATGGGGCTTTCGGTTTGTTCTACGAAACTCGGAGAAGCCGTGGAGATGTCACCTTAGTGAACCTATCGCCAAGTCTACCATAGGGACGATCGATAAGCACGAGCAATAACGAGGTAACTTTAGTCCGACGAAATTGATCAGAGGAGAGCTGCCGGTGCTCTCTCTTGCGAAGATGGACGCTTTGGAGCTGCAAGCTGCCTTGGTGAAGCTCGACCCGGCCACCACGGTAACGCCGATCGGCACCACCGTGAAGCTGGTGCCCCATCATCGCGTCGCCTTCACCGTGAACATCGACGACGAGGGTGATATGACTCTGGAAGATCCGGCGCGAAAGGACGACGAGAAGTCGCCGGTCGAGACGACGGTGTCGAGGAAGACTCCGGGTCATCAGGGTCACCATCAGGGCGGTGGCCAGCAGATGAGTATTTCCAAGTGCGGCATCGCCGAGGTCAGGTGACGCCAGCCACCTTGCTACGGCGTTAACATGATTTACCATACTTATCCGCCGCATCGAGGTAGCAAGCACCATGCCAAGCATCACGCCAAGGAGAAGAGGCACCATCATCATCACACTATGCACCATCAGCATCACAGAGCTCATGTGGTAAGTCGTCGTGTTAAGCGCGCATTATCGTGGACAAGGAGACGACGATGATGATGACGTCGTCGTCGTCGTTGAGCGTGCGAAGAAATTCCTCGAGCTATTGTTCGTGCCCGCAAGGTCGTTTAATTGTTTCGCACGACACGACACCGAGAATTCGAAAGTCGGTCTTCTTAATTTTGATACGCTTAATACGACGAATAAGTTGCCTCATTGCCTTTTGTTAAAAGACTTATCATTGGATTTTCATATCAACAGAGTGAAAAAGTAACGAAGCCGCGCGTCGGAGAGAAGCAAGTTTCCATGTCGTGGACCTTTAAATAAAGAATTTTAAAGAATTCTCCCTTCCACAACAATCTTGCGCTCGTAAAACGTTGCAAAGGTATGCTTTTCATGAATTTCATCCGAAGGCTTTTATAGGATTCAATAAGAGATGGAAGCGTGTCGTGATAACTCGTATTTTCGTGGGCCCCACGAGAAATTTGACTAGCGGTAAGGCACTCGTATAATATATTTCGTTCAACCTCCACACAATGCGAATGTATCTGAAAATACTATTACACTACGTATTCCCGATGCCAAAAAATAAATAATACAGAGTAAATAATACAGAACTCTGCGGCACGAATGGCGGGATGAGCGAAGCACGTGCCTGATGAAGAGATCAAATTTACTTATCGCTTCGAAAAAAATTCTCCGAAATTTAGTTTTCGTATTTTTTTTTAATTAATTATTCCAATTCGGAAATCCGATCCAGCGCAATATGGTATTTATTATCGAAAGTTTTATCGGAACAATTTTTATCGCGTTCCACGGCCGCTTCCGGAAGAGCGCCCGGTCTCCGGTTTAATTAAAATTGATACTCCACGCATGTCGAGAGATTGCAAAATTAATTTGTATACTCGTATTTCGGGCGGAATTAAAATCGAGATTAAAACCAAAGCAAATTGCGCGTCAAAATTAATGTTTAAGTAGACACTCGCGTAGTTAGGTTAATGCGGGAATATCGCCCCCCCCGCATTTCGCGCCGGTGCAACCGCAAAACGGATCGCGGGCGTATTCCACGTGGACATCGTTTGGCCCGTTCGTGGCCGTTATCGGACGCGCTCTTCATCCATTGAACATGGCCATTGTGCGTTTCGTGCTCATGCAGCGAGCCGTGCGTTTCCTTTATGAATTTTTCTACGCGCAACGGTTCCTCGCAGTGACGAATGTGTATCACCGAGTCAGCGGACAATGCGACACGCTCTGGCTGCCGTTCTGTTCTCTGGCTCCGCGCACGTTAGCTCGCCCTATCCGCCCGTACGGAGGACGACGGGCTCGTTCCGTGACGGAACACATACGGTATATATGTATATATCGGGCGTCTCTCGTGTCTGGCCGACGTAAGGAGCCGTTCACGCCAGCCACTTTATTCTCCTAGCGGTAGTTCCTAGCGAGGAGATAATTAACGAGCGCGATCGACCGCGCGTTAACTTGATCCCTCTCGCACAGCTACGAACGGTGGATTAGCGTGTGTTAATTTTTTAACGGGGCTTTTCGAAGGCTGCGCTACGTGGGAGTGACGCGCTTTCTCAGAACGCGCGGAAAAGTCGGAAAAAGGCACGCATACAAGATGAAAGAGATTGCATCCGATGATGAGGAAAAAGATGGAGAAAGACAGTCTAGTTAATTTTTATTAATTTTATAAGAGCATTCTGTAAATTGCCGAAAATGTAAATTCCA